GGTGAAGGTGTCTCTGCAAGTCCTGGGAGAGAGTAATGCTGTTATTACCGTTATCAAAGAAATGCGATGGACGGTGAAAGATAGAAAAAATTTAGGATTTTGAAAAAACTACGTTGCCGAGTACTGTCATTCACTTTAGCAGACGAGTCTATCGCCACAATTCGCATACAAGTTATATTCTCTAGGATCTCGCTCATTTGCGTCTACTGACGATAGGGAAGCTCGGGGCATCCACGGATACCAACTACGAGTGCTTAAAGTGAACATATGGGCATACATTTGGTCCTTTGGTCCTACCTTTGGAAAACTGAGCCCCCACGACGAAAATACCGATAACAGACTGAGGGTGAATTACTTCACCCTTGTCCGGATTATCGTAATATCTGGATCCAGATCAAAGACGAGAAACTAACACGCTCCTGTGGAGAGAAAAATGTACGTTCAGAAATACAAGGAAAGCTTAGATTAGGTTAAAACGGTCACCTCCTGGGCAAGTCCATTTGTGATACCACTACTAGCGGTAACTGCTAGATTATAGTGAAAATTGCGAAGTTCCTTTGACCAAAAGTCAGGCAGCAGCCTGAATAATTACATATAGTTGTCCTCAATCTAGCTGCAATGAGGATCAGGATGTGATGTTTAGCCTCATTGCATGAGTCCCAAACAGTGACCAGTCAAAACACTACTACTAGAATGGAAAGCCGTAGATTTGTGAGCCTAGGGAGATCCCTAGATCGCCTCTGGTCTACGGCCCTTTATCTTTATACTCCCATTTATCCTGATCTTATACATATTCACGTTCCACTTTGTGCTTATAAAAGCAAGGTGTTTAGAATTACCTTGGTCTACATCTTTGTCTTTATCTTTAATACCTTTGCTTTTATTCTTTTACAATAATAATATCGATGAATGTATCTATAAATATATCGATAAATATATCGATAACAATATCGATAAATATATCGATTGTAAAATTGATACATTTATCGATTGAAAAAGTATCGATTGAAAAATTGATAAATTTATCGGTAAATATATCGATAGCAATATCGATTATTATATCAATAGCAATGTATTGATTTCAATATCGGAAATAGTTTCAATAAATATGTGGATAAATACATACCCTTGTGGTCAGCGGATTGAGTTAAGTAACATTTTGACCACTTTTGGCTACTTTTCTTTTGTCTATTTAATGTTAATATATTTTTTTTTTTTTTGTAAAATTTTAGCACATTAAATAACCAGCATCACATATGTAAGTCCACATTTCCAACTTCCCTGCAAACCAAAGTTCCCGAAATCTTAAGGAAATCGTTAGGAGTATCTCATTTCTGTAAAGATTTTTTTACGAATTTTCAAAGAAAATTATATGAAGTGGTTGACACGAACTCGTAAAGAAATTTCTGTACGAAAAATAAAGAAAATTCTGGAAAAATTCTGAAAGATATTCTTCACATAGCAGCATTATTTTCGTTGCTTTACAGATTTTCTTCCGAAATTTCGTAAAAGAATGGAAGTGTGCGTAATTTATTTCATTTTAGAAAATTCGCCAAAAAATCGAATTTAAAATTTAATTAATAATAATTAATTAAGTAATTCTTTAAAATTTCTTTACAGTGCAGAATACTCTGAAAAAATGGTTCGTACAAAATTTATAAAAATGAAACAAACGTTAACAATTCCAACCAAAAATTTTAAACTTTTTATTAAAAATTTTAAGAAAAATTAAAGGTATGTAGTTTCATAGCCCATTAAATTTTAGTACGTTAAAGTGTAATTTTTAACACGCTAGAGAATCGCGTTGAAATTTAATAATTTTTTTTTTGCTGACTATGTTGGGCATTTTATCCCATATAACTACCTGCTTTTTAATAGTGCCAAGTAGTTTGGCTACCAGAAATGCTCCTGGAGAACATTGAATGTTCACTTTCCTTTTTTCTTCGATAGCGGCAATATCCAGTTCAGTTTTTTTACAAGCAAAAAATACATAAAGTCAGCATGTTTGTCTTCTTTTTCCTGTTTTTGCAAGTGATGGCTAATTTTCTGTTCGTTGATTTTTTGGTTTCCCCCTCATTTTGCAGAGGATTTTCGCTTAAGCTCTTGATTGGATTGCTGCCTGGTGATAGCTAATTTTGTTATCGAACACGACTAATACCTTAGTGTAAGTGTTTAGCCGAGCTTCTTCTCCGGTGTGCAGCGAGCGCCTTTGATGTGGTCACACAAAGAGGAGGAATCTACTGTTTTACGCCGACTCCGGACGGCGATTTTATTTTTATGACAAGTTATTTGTCATGGAAGAAATACATACACTCACAGGTTTTCCACCGACTGCCAATTAAGTAATATGGTAAGAGTATCCCGAAAAAAGAATTAAAAAATTGTTTATAATTTTCCGCTGTTTTTGAAGCTGTCTGCCCCATTGTGCGACAATACGCTAGAGCACATCCTGTGTTAATATCCGGCAATCGTAAAAATGAAATCGGCTACCAAGGCGCATGCTGAAAGCATATTTGACCTTCAGGATTAGTTACTTCACCAGCGGAATTCAAAGAAAGAAATTTGAAAATGTTAGCTAATTAGGTGAAGTTGAAGATGTGCTAAACTTACTCGCATAAAATCCAAATACAAACACGCAATAAAAGATATTTACTTTAAGTTAAAACAGTTTTTATTTAGTTTTTTTTTTGTTTCAGAAATTCGATTTTTTGTTCTTAAGATTTGTAATATTACATAGCTACAATTGTGATTTAACATACACACATAAGTAAATATAAAATAACAAAATATAGTATACGGAAATACATATTTTTTTATTAACTACATATGCAAGTAAATTTTTATTTGCTACCTTGTTTAGGCCAATGCAGCGAACTTAACTAAATTTTAATTTTACATACATACATATGTATATACAATGCATACAAACTAGTTACTCATAAATACTTAATAGGCTTACGTAAGTATTAGCTATGCATTAATTTATGTAAGTAAATCGTAGGGCACAGCCATTCTCCGCTTCTTTATGTTTACAGACGCGCTCATATTTTATTTTATTTTTCAGTTTCTTACAAATTACTTATAACTCCAAGTTTTCTTTTTTTGCGAGCGAAAAAATTTCATTTAAGCAAATTTTAGCAGAAATTTGAACAATTATAAATGGTATTGTACAATAGTGATTAATAAGTGACTACTTAGTTTAAGTATTTAAGTAAATTCGCCAATACTTAAAATTTTAGCTCTTTAAAAAATTCACAACTATTTGGTTACATTTTAACACTTAAGTAACTAACAGCGTAGTGGCAATTCTTATTAGTGAGGTGTGAACACCAAAAATGCAGTGAAATGAAAAATTGTATGTGTGTGTGTGTGTGCGCGTTTTTATTTTACGCTCGAATTCACGGCAATCACTTTTCGATATTTACATACATAAGTACATTGTACCTTTTTATTGGTCATAGTGGTTTTCAGCACCAAGTAATTGAGAGTGAATCAGCATTCCCGTTATTTTTCATTTTCTTTTACGAATATATATAGAAAACAATCGAACTGGAAAGGCATGACAAGGAATTATACACGCGCTTTATTCCTTACCCATACATACTTCACAACTAGGCAATCAGAACCTTTGTCTACAAACCGAGTATTCTGATTATGTTGGCCGGCATATAAAAGGCCACTGATTTCATGGATTGTGGGAAACTTCTTCACTTATTTCTTATTGCTTTTCTGTAGCTTTATTGGCACGGAATTTTTCTTACACATCTTCCAGCTTTTTATTTTTAAAATTATTCGGAAAATTTCCAAGTCAGAACTGTAATACGTAAATAGTTATATATCAGCACATCTGAAGATAATGTAGTATTATCTAATATAACACATTTAAGGCACTGTTTACACTTATTCAACGATTCTTGAATGACAAGTTTGTTTGAAGTCGGCTAAAGAGTAGACATATTCGGCTTTTTAGTACACATCTGCTAACTGAGATCGAAAGGCCCATTCAGTCTAAATGGTTACTTAGTATGTGCGACTTCGTGGAATTGAACCGTATCAGAAGTTATGTGTGCAGCTCAGAGAGTCTCCAAAAAAAGAGCTGTAACTTGTATCGTTCAAGACGAGATATAAGCCAGATACAATTGTAGGGGATGTGCTAGGATATTCTAAAGATGAACAATATCTCGAAACTGCGAATACACTTGATGGCACTGGAATAGCTAATATTTGACCAAAACTGTGTAAACTGTGTGAACTTCGAAATGTCCTCTCTTCTGAGCAGCTCTTATATTATTTTCCTATCCATTTGTGGCCATAGTAGCCTAGCTATTCTAGAAGTGCCCTAATCTAACCATGACCTATTGGCCTATAGCTCTTTATGAACATTAATTTGCAGGTAGTCATGGGAATCCTAATTCCACCTCACCTCACTCAGTGGAAGATTAGTACTTTTCTTGGCTAGCTCAATGGCCCTGCAATTTTCTGCAATATCTCTATGTCCCAGGACTCATATGAAGCTAACCTTGAAGACTATGCTAATGTCATTTAGGGCTGAAAGGAATTCCTGTGCAACCTTTGACCTTCGAATTACCACATTCATTGGCTTGATGGCTGCCTGGCTGTCCGAGAAAAAATTTGTCGCTGTCTTTGTCGCGGCTAGAACCTATGCCTAATAGACGTTATAGTGATCCGGAATTCGTACTGATAATTCCAATCCTAAATTCTTAGAGAAAACACCAAAGCCACGTTTATTATTTAGCTTAGACATACTGAATCAAAAATCCATCTCTGGATCAAAGTTATGAAATGTAATATTTTGAGTGGAACCGGGAGGGAGGAAAGAACTAAGTTATATTAAAGATAAATTTACTTAAAGAGCGCTCTTTCTTATTGTTTCACAAAAAAGGGAAAGTCAAAATTGATTGCTCTTGAATTGAGTTGTAGTGAGGAGGAAGATGTAAGTTTTATTCATCAGTTAGGAATTTTTGCCTCTAAGATTCTCGCTAAAAATATATGACTTTGTTTTGCACAGAGAGTGTTTTTCTCACTTTGCAACACTTCTCAATTTTCAGCTGCTGAAAATCACCATTAACATATGTCACATTTCAATCGGGTTGTGGGCTTGATTTTCTCGAATCTTAATGTTATGGCATTTGAAGCGATTCGCTTGTCTGACTAGGGATTTCTTACGATTTATTTCATTTCTGTATTTACGCAAATATGGCAAATGGAAGCGATACGACAAGATACAAATGTAATGTGAATAACACCGCAAGCATTACTCGTAGTACATATATTTATGAAGAACAGCTCACATACATATGTAAGTATGCATGCATGTGTGTATGTAAAGGATGTGTGTGTGTGTGTTTTGTGGTTAGTAGGACGGGTGGCTATGCCAATAAATTGGCTTGATAAGTGGCCTAACACGCTGATGAGACAGACTGCTCAGATGATTTAGTGAACTCGCACTTAACGTGGCCGTGACTGCATAGGTGAAGTTGGTGTGAGAAGATTGTTCTTAACGTGAACTTGACTATGAAGAGCTGTGCTTTTTCTACTTAAATAATTTTTCTGTGGCTCTGTTTTATATCACTTACCACGTACATATGTATGGGCAAGCTGTAAGGGTCAGTGAGTTTGAATATGTCGGACGTTTGCACACGCGCACATATATTTGTACATATGTATGTATGAGTAAGTACGCAAGGCCTGAATTTGGCGTCATCTGGTCTGTGTGACCTGACCAAAGTCATACACGAAATATTAGTTCACTTTGTATGTACTTTGTTAAGTTGCAAAAAATGCTACGCATTGCACAGCGTGCGTGTCCCTTTTACAGCTTTTGTCCCGATATATCGGCGTTGAGTGTAGACTCGAGCATGCCTGGCGCTGTGGCCGATATGCTACGCATAAGCGCTACCCGAGTTGTGGGCGTACCATGTGTACTCGTGTGGGCGTGTGTCATAGAAGTGCTATCTCGTCGCATGCGTTTCTTGCCACCGCCATTGACAGCGCCACCAACATCGCCACCACCCCGACCAACATGGCGGCCATTTAACTCTTTTTTACGTGCTCGCCAGTGGAACATGCCGGTGAGTGTGTCGAATGTTTTGTGCGTACGTCCGTTATTTGCGGGTCTCGCATGCTTCGTCTTATCACTTTCGTATGTCGTAAACGGTGAACCAGGCACATTAGGTACGTTAACAGCGCTGCGCATTAGTTCAGCGCGCGGAATGGACTTGGCCAACAAAGTGTCCTGGTCACGTCGGCTGATAATTCGTGAAAGTTTGAGACGCGCGCGTGCCGGCGCATGCACGTCCAATTCCGCTATGGAATTTACCGGCTGTACCGGTTGCACAGGCTGCGTGGCTGGCAGGCGGCTCATCGTTAGACTAGCTGGCGATACTGGGTTTGGCAATTCGGACTCGGGCTCGCCAAGGCAATGTACTATGTCGCAAAGTTCATATTGACTGGCGTTGCTATCCCACTCCTGCGAGTTAATCGATGCGCGATCATCACACAAAGGTCGCGCATTACGCACGGCTTGCATCACATTATTGCTAATGACGGAACGTCGCAAGTTATTATTTCTACTGAAATTAATCGCCACCGGCTGCGGATGGCCGTGACAATAGCCATGTCCCGCACCCAACTCCATGTCGAGCAGTAAGTTGCTGTCGGCGCCGTTGGACCGCTGCGATAGTTGGGATTGCAGCTTGTGATGGTGTTGTTGCCTGGGTGTGGATACTGCTGTCGAACCGTTCACTTTATTCGTTGCGATTTCGTTATGCCTCGTCAGCGTCGCTGTGAGTGGGGATTGTGAACCAACTGAGGTGTAACGCGAGCGATGCGATGATTGACGACTGGCGCTATTGCCGCCTACTCCGCTCAAAATAATGCTACCCATAGCGCTGCCTCCGCCGCCGCTGCTGTTAATTGTTGTCGTTGTTGTTGTTGTTCTGATGCTATCCTGCAGAGAAAGATGATGGCTTTGGTCACGACAATGCAATTGCATAACTCGGTAAGAGTGGTAGTGATCGAGAGCATTGTTATTCACCGTTGTGTGGAGGCGCATGGAACCATTCTGTCGCAGGAGGGCGCTATAGTTGTGGCTTTGACTCTGATAGCGACCGGGGAATCCAAATTGACGTGCCAGAGTTACCTGGGAACGAGTAGAGAATACGTTTCAAATGAAATGATCAGCAGCGTGGTGAATTTAAAATAAAATAAAATAGTTGGTGGTAACGATAATGCAATGAAAAAGGGGGAGTGGTTAGAGGTGCGTTGTACCACTCCGTAAGACCTCGGTTCGATCTCTGGCGCGAGAAATATCTTATATTCAAAAAACTTGTTTTTTACAAGCGGCAGCTCATTGACAGGAAATGACAAAACCTCCGAGAGTATTTCTGCCTTGATCAAGTTTCTCAGACAACCATTTGCCACTTGGAGGGGCCATTAAATTATAGGTCCCTCGATTACATTATGTTACGCATAACATAAGGTTGCATACCACAAATTGGAGGACCAAACCAAAGCCAGCGCCAAGTTATTATTATTATTAAGGTAAAGTGCAAAGTTAAGTGAATGTAGTGAAGTGATTAAATTATTGTTATTTTTCCACAATAATTTTCAATTAAAAGCCGCCTAAAGTTAAAAAAAAAAATAGTTTAATATACATAGTTTTTTTAATTAAAATTTTCTAGTGATTTTTTTAGATTTTATTATTTTTTTATAAATTTGTTTTATTTTATTTTGTTCTTTATTTAAATTAAATTTGTTATTCTTTGTCAGTTTCATTTTCTTTTAATGTTTAGATTTTATAGTTTTGAAAATAAGAATACATTTTTTTTAATTGTTTGTCTTGTAATAAAAATATTTTTTTCTTTTTCTAATTAAATTTCCCTTTATTTATTAAATTTTATTATTTTAAAACCAATATAGGTAAAAGTAGTGGAATGGTGTACATTAATGATAAGTGAAGGAAAACGAGACAATAAAATATTTCAAATGAAAATTCCTGGAGCAAGAAATTTATAACATCATCGTTGGTATCAACCAGTTATTACCAGGTCTGGGCGACTCTAACTGCACAGTACTCTTGGGGTAGCGTCGCGTGTGCGTAAAGATGATGTTGACGGCGAAAATTAAGCGTAATCATGCATAACTTAGAACTTCGTAAATCAGAAAGAAACAGACATTGACGTGGCATTAAGTTACGTAAAGTTTCGGCTGTTCAAATATGAGCAATATCCCTTTAAGAGAATTTTCAAGTGCCAGCCTCTAAGTTACCTTAAGTTGCCATAATCTCACCTGTACTGGATTTCAAGCGAATCGGTATGAATCAGTAATTAATTTTTGCTTAATTTTTACCATAAAATTATATCGCAGTCGTCGTCGCTCAGACCTGGTTATTACCACAAAGGAATTCCAAAATGCGCCGGAAAAAGTCTACTTATAAGTATATAAATATATGTAAATACATACATATGTACTTATGTAAGCATTAGTTTCATATATTTTCCCCTCTTTGGAATAAGTTTTACTTGAAGTTTCGCATTTTAATAACGTTTCTTCTAAAAAATACTCGAATTCAGGACGTGCTCTTATCAATTTGAATTACAACTTCATTTCAATAACTACATTTGATATCAAAGGGCAACTTACGTTTTCGTATGCATACCTCGTATTTCAATCTAGTTATTTCCGGCATTTAATTTTGTTTTATGACCCCCCACCACTCAATCACTTCACATTGACGTGCGACTTCACTTACCTTAAAAGCATCACGAAATTTGTGACTCATGATGTTGTATAGCAGCGGATTAATACACGTCGATAGGTAATACAGCACACCGGATATAAGGTCGACAGCTTCGAAGACATCTTTAAAGAGTTGCGATTCAATGTTGGCACTGCTGCCGTATACAGCCATCAAGCGTTGTGCGTGAAAGGGTGCCCAGCACAGAAAGAACGCCACAGCAACGGCAACTGTTGAATGTTGTGCGCGGAAATGAGGACAAACGTGGGCGAATGGTGCGACATGCAAATAAAGAAAAAAGAAAACAAGGAAACACAAAAACGGAGGAAAGAGGAAACACGCAGCAAAAAAGGCAAGTGAAAGAGAGGTTTATTTAATTGTGAAATTACATTTATTTTCAAATCATGAAAATATGTACATATGTACATGCAGGCTATGCGGTTTCACCAGAAACTTAAGTGAAAAATCATTTTTTTCAATTCTGTCAGTATTCATATTAAATTCAAATCAAAAATTCTTTTTCGCTTAAATTGCTTTCGTGAAACTACGTATTAGTTTTTTAAATTTATAAGTAAAAAATTTGGATATTTAATAATGTCATCATCAGGGAACGGATTTTTTGGAAATTGCCTTTTTTTCTGCTAAAGAGATAGAGTATATTCGATTAAGAATGTCCACTATTTAGCTCTCCCTGATTCCATATATACACATTTGATGTTGCCTTTTTTTGCATTTTTTAAGATATTTGCCTTTTTTTGCCTTTTCTACCTTTAAAAAAGTGATTATAGCATTTAAAATTTTTTTTCAAAGATCAAAAAATATACACATTGCCCTTGCGGCTTATAGAAGCGCAGAGACCTCTTGCCAAATTGGTGTTGGAAAAAATCAAAGCCATTTTCTCAGCTAACGAAGGCTTGGAGACAATAAGGGGTGTGGATAAAATTATAAAGGGCGAGGAAAACGCCCTTATTCCTGATAATATGAACATTTCAAACGTTCCTTAGTTAAATTGGGCGCCGCTTGTATCAACTTACGTCGAGCACACATTTAGTATATTCAAGGCTTTTCTTCGCGAAAATCGAATGAAAATGCTGCCGGAAAACTTCAAAATGCATCTTGTGGATCAATGTTTCTACAACTATACAGATTAAAGTTTTATGAGTTAGAAACCCGAAAGGATAAAATAGCCAAAGATTCAAAGTACAAATTTTTCATATAATGAAACTAGTTCATTGTTTTTCTCTTTTTACTTGTAATATAAGCATTTCTAAAATAAATGTATTTTTTGATTGTTCTTCGTATTTTCTGTCTTTTTTTAGTGCCTTATTTTGCTTTTTTTTGCAATACCTAGTGCCTTTTCCTGCCTTTTTCGCTATTTTGTTTTGCCTTTTTTTGCCTTTTTTGCAACACCTAGTGCCTTTTCCTGCCTTTTTCGCTATTTTATTTTGCCTTTTTCAGCTTATTTCGTTATTTTATTTTGCCTTTTTTATAGGTTTTTAGGTCCTAAAAATCCGTTCCCTGGTCATCATTGTATCATTGTGGTTTTATTTAGATTACGCTAAGCATATTTAAATTAATGTAATGAAAAAAAAAGATGTTCAAATCGATTTTTTTATATCAATATTAACTCTACTCTGGCGGGTTTGAAATGAGGTATTTCGTACTTATTTCTATTAGATTTCCTTAAACAAGTTGTGGGGAACATTTATTGAGGGAAAATTCCAACCACAAATTGAGCTTCCATTGAAGAATGGGTTTAGGGAAAGGCCAACATGTGAATAAATCTGGAGTGATAATATCGCAAAAAAAAATGAGTTTGTTTTCAGTTAACTACAAACTGAATATTTTGTGTGTTGACAATTTTTCAATAAAAAGGACTATTTTCGAGAACCGTTTTTACGATTTCTATATTCAACTACCTGGCAGCACTGCATATATTACAAATTGCATTAGGGTGCATCACCAAAAAATCTTCTTAAAAAAATCGAAATATTTTGATTCGGTTCATACAATTTTTAAATATTTTTTTTTGCAGATCTTTGAAGCTTAGTCTCTTGTGTCCTCTGTGGTTATTTAAAAAAAATTAAATTTTTGGTTGTCTTTTCAAATGGGCACGCAAATCGTAATACTTTTCCGAATTATTTTGGCAGATGTCTGAAAATATAATAGATTTTATAATTCCTCAGGAAAAATTGTATCGATATTTTTTGTGGATGGAGGGTGATACACCGTAATGTACATAAATATATCATCAATAGACACAAATAAAGACGCGAGCTCAAAAGCTGACCGCGAAAAAAACTTCAGCTAAGAAAGACTCTTAACATTGTTGACGTTAAAACACGCGTGCATCTCCATTCGTGTATAGTGACGATATGTTTTTTTTTTCAAAAATTCACTCAGCTCTATTCAGTAAAGAAAGCATGATTACTTATACCCGAATCTGCTATATTTATTTTTACAAAAAGATTTGCAGCCATTCAAAAATTTTGTATTCATAACCATTTTGCAAAGTTTACTTTAAGCACCGCACAAAGTTTTCGTGAGGTTATTTCATATATATAACTTTTTGCTTTTGATGTTGGTAAGTGTTTGCTCGGCAACCACACTCCCGTAAAACACCACACTCAGCTGTCACGCGATAACGCAACTTTGTTAAAAGGCGACAATCCCTCAACACTACATCAACAAGGAACACATTTTCCATTCATGCCACAGGTGTGCGCATCTGTTTTACGATTGTTAAAATTATTAGGTGAAAAGGTACCAAGTGCACTATTTTTTATTTAGATTTTGATGCAGAATTATAGATAATGCGAAACTACATCTATTTTTCGTATCTCCTGAAAATGTTTAAAATAATAATAAATATGTAGTAGTGTAGTTATACCTTACACACCTCCGTAAAAATATTCATATATAAGGGAGGAAATGGTGTTGGCGGTCGGCGCCTACTGTGCAATATATGACATTAATTGCCCTGAGCGGGTGTGTTACTGTTAGCACTCGCACAAAATTATAAGGGTATTCAGACTACGCTCGTTAATGTATTAATTCGTTATCTGGTAACTCGGTAATACTTTCAACTTCGAATGCCCTTATTATTTTTCTGGTTAAAATTACCCTCGAATCAGCTGACTAGAAGTTCTTTAATTTATAAAACTTTATTAATTCCACGACAGAATGTTTTATTGAACTTTTGATAAAATGTATGCACTTTTCGCGCGAGAAAATCCCAGCAAATTAGTAACAAAAATGAATCAGCTGACATTTTAAACGCATGTGTTATCACATTATCAGACTTGCCACCTCATTAAGTTGGTAACGACATATTCGGTAATTTACAAAAACAAAACAATGGTGGGAGTTACCGAATACCGAATCAAGACCTTAACGAGTATACTTTGAATACCCTTTGTGTAAATATTTATGCAGGCATGTTTACCGGAAGTAGAGGGCGATTTGAAAGCATGTAAGGGATAATGGGGTTTAAGGCTTATTGACAGCTTAACTGGTTGAATGAGTTTTGCTTTGTTTGCTCGAACGAAATTTGTTTGCTGTGCCGCGGCGGGTATAAATTATCGAAAGCAACAGGCTTCAAGCTACGCGAGTATTGCATGTTTATAAGAATTATGTAAGTTTGATGATAAATAGGTCCAATTAATAACTGCCAAATTGTTTTTTATTATTTCGAGAGTATTTTGTAAAAGGTACTATTTACAGGTCTTCTGCACATTACCGAAAAATTTAGAAATTCTAGCATTGCATATTTCACGGGGCAATATTTTATTACCAGCTTAAGAGATAGTAACAAAAGTAAGATCTTAACAATTGATTTACAGCGCAGAACAGATACATATGTTAATAGAATAAGTGCGCCATGGCGTATGATGAATATAAAATATATGGTAAACATACAACTTTCGAATTATTTACGCTGTGCAACATAAATTTTAGGGCATCAAACAAAATATTTCCAAACGATATTATCGATGCATGGTAATTGCCCCATGTCATCACACTTTTTCAATGGTCTAAAGTTTCAAAAATTACACATAATTATTCTAACTTTTATTGTAATTGTCACTTTTGACCCTTATAAATATTGAATACGTGGGGGTAAATTAAAAAAAAAAACAAAAACAGTGTACAATTCGCCTGTGTTTCGGCGGTTTTTGGTGTCATTTAAAAACTTGACATTTTCCCTACAGTTTTATGGATCATCTTCATTATTCTTCGAAGTAATTAATAAAGGCGGTTAGGTTTAGTTAAGTAGTCGTTTCCAGTTGTGGACACACTACGACATTATAGTTGTTGTTCTTTGTTGCTCCACTCGATTTTGAACGGTACTAACAAAACGGCTGGCATTGAATGGACACCACCTGGTCATCCTTCCGACAATTGCGGCAGTAAAGGTCAAATGTTATTTTCATTCTTACCGCGTAAATTCTGACTAGCGTGGTCACCCGCAAGAGCCCACCAAAAGCATGAGCTATGGCTTTTCAAGCACAAGCCACTGATTTGACTCTCTCCGATCTGTCCTTGTCTGAAAGACCTTGCCATTGCGCATGCCATAGTTTTTCCACAGCGCTTCCATATATTTAAGATGGGGTCCTGCAGTTAATGCAGTCTCGCTGAGGCCTGGTGATTTGACGATTCCTTTCTGGTGGATGTTGTTGAACTCCCGCAAGAAAGGAAAGAGAAAGAGAAAAGTCTCTAAATTGCAACCAGCTTCTTCGGCATTTTTATTTGACCACTCGTCCCTATTTTATTTATACACCAATCAGGGCTATCGAAAAATAATGTTTTTACGATTTGTGGAGGATGTTCTTGGCTTTCATTTATTATACTTTGTATTAAGATTATTTGATTACTTCATAAGATAAAGGTGAATAAGTGGAACTATTTTTGTAGCCGATCAATGGTAAATTGCAAATATCTCGAAAACTTATACGCAGAAAAAAAGTTAACTCGATTTTCGGAATCAGCGAGCAATTCGACATAGGAATTGGATAATGACATCCATGGAACAATTTTTGCTGTAAGCCAGTGTCATACGAACGAAATGCATTTTTTCGTTTAGGTCCTAAATATTTACTAGTTTTTCAATACCTGTTCTCTTGTGGCTCTCCAAGCTTCTTGGGCTACTTACTCAGCATTCTGATCACACGACTTTGTGCGCTGATCCCGCGATGCACATCAAAACTACGCCGTGGCACTGCCTGCAGCAATCGGCTACGCTTCAACTTTATACCAATTAGTACATAGAGTACACAAATTGCCGTCATGGGACCGACAAAGAAGATAAAGCCCGAAACGGCGAAAACATGCTCGACAAAATGATTGCCAATCTGTGAATGAGAAAAGATAAGAAACGAACGCACACACACACACACACGCGTATGAGTTTAAACATCGACTGAATATGGCAGACAAAAACAAGTACATATGTAGGTGTTTCAAAGGCATAGGTAAAGGTCACCACTGCAATATTGAAACTAAAACGTACTTTTCATATTTTTTTTTTTTCTTTTGTAATCAACTCTATACAAATCGGTGAACTTACCGTGCACGAGGTGCCGCCCTGCTCTGACACAACCGAGAATTGCATTGCCTGCGGCAGGGCAAGTAGCAGCGCAGTCACCCAAATGGCGAAGATGAACTTGATGGCGCGCGATAGCTTGGACATGGTGTGCTGTCTGCAATTAGGCGATAAAAAGGGAAAAAATTCACTTCACAAAATTGACTGGTGTAGAGTATTTACTACCATTAAGCAAACAAACAAACAAACGGAAAAAATTTTGTAGTAAGCATAAAAATATATGTGTGTGTATGAAAATTAAAGTGAAAATCTTGAAAGCGTAACCAACAGTGTGCCCTAAAAAAAAGGGCAGCCGTATCGCAACAATTAATCGCTTAAGTTGTCAGTTGAAATTGAATAGTCCAAACGAAGGTAGAGCAATGCAGAAAAAAATAAATACTCAGCCAAAATTAAAAGAGATTTTTTTTTGTTGCGCTGTCGCCTGGTTCTTCTTTTACATCTCGTTCTCATCGTCGTCATATTTGCTTAAGAAAACCCAACTCAATTAAAGAAAAACACATTAAAATGATTGTAGAAATGCATTAAATTAAAGTGAAATGAAAGTGTCAGCTCAATGTTTTCAAAAAGAAGAAAAGAAAAAGAAAACAGATGCCTTCCAACTCGCACTCACCGAAATGGATGACATATCGCTATGTATCGTTCAACGGTAAATGCTGTGATTGTCAATACCGTTGCATTTGTGGCGGTTTCCGCTAAAACGCTTCCCAATATACATATCACATCCCCAAATGGAAAGGCATTCGGATACCAATAACTGTAAACGTCTTGCGGCGCGCCTGTTAATGAGAATAAAATAAATGTTACGAAAGTAAAAATAAATATTTACATACATATGAATATTTAAAGGATTCTTTAATGTAGCTTTTAAATTTCTTTCTAACCAACTAAAAAAAAACTAAGAGGTTATCAATTCGTCGGATATTTTATTTATTTTAATTTATGTACCACATAAACACTTGTTTGGAAAGCATCTTAGCAACATTTAAAGAACACCATATAAATCTCAGTTTCAAACTTTACAAAAAATTTAGGAAAATTCAACAAATTTTTATCAAAAGCAATATCAAAAAATAAATAAATCTCAAAAATCAACGCAATTTTTTTAGCCAGTTGAAACTTGAAATTTATTAGACTAAAATTGTATGTGCTATATGCATTCCCAAAAATCTTCTAAAGATTCATATTAAAAAGTAGAGATTTTTATAAAAACTTGTTGAATTTTCGTTGGATGGTAGTTTTATAGAAAATTAGCTCAAAAAACATTACTAATATTAAAAAAAAAATCTCAACGTGGTCACTTATTTGAGTCACTGTATATCCGTATCTACACAAAATAATGTCGTTAATATTTTGTTATAAGCTTTTATGATTCATATCCTTCACAGTAACTTTGCTGAATAGGCTTTTGTCAAATTGATGTATTGTGGAATGATTTTCCGTCATCCCTTGTCAAATTTGGTTTGGAGAAAAACCGGTTTCGGCATTGTGCCGTGTCATTTTTCGTTTCGTGACACTGAAGATGGCACAACGCCGAAACCGGTTTGTAAAATGACGTTTTCATACATTTTTCAATTTATAAACCTTTTGTAAAGCTATTTTATCTATTATTTAATGCCATATGGCATTAATAATAAAATTAAGTTTAGCTAACAGTAAATTTATTATTTATTATTATGCGAATAAGCCAAAATAACATTGTATTTTCCTATATTAATGAAAATGAGTGTAAATGCAATTTTACAAAAACTTAAAATTATTGAGAAAAAAGGAAAAAATATACTGAAATTAAATGAGCTAAAAAATTGCATACTCAAATTTTTTTTTTTGAAAATTCCGAATAAAAATTTTTCTATTTTAATGAAAATTTGTAATTTTTTAAGTTTTGTAAAATTTTTTTTGTTAGAATATGACCTAGTATATTTTCGTGAAAAATTAACAAAAAAATCACTATGAAAACCCATACGAATATTGTATAGAACTCACTGTACGCATAATTATTTTGACAAGTTTACATGCATACATGTTAAAGATTACTTATAAACTAGTCTCTATCAACACTTACCTGACAGCAGCAACATCAAATCGGAAACAGCCAAGTTGAATAAATAGAAATTTGTCGCTGTATGCATAAACTTATTTCGCGATATAACGATGCATGTGATAAGGTTGCCCAGCACGCCCGCCACAAAAATGATTGCATAGAAAATCGTGAGCGTTATTAATACGGACATGGAAAGCTGTTGCTGTGGTAGCTCTAAAGTTTGATTTAGTTGCGCCGTATTCAACAGATCTGTCAGATTTTCCGTTGAGATATTAAGTGTCAGTGACATATTCTGTTTGAATGCGTCACTCTGCAGCAACTGTTGAAAATCCACCAGCGATGATGAATCAAAGGCAAAGAGCGGCGAATTGCCGTAGTACGCTTGTGTGATGAGGATATCCTCATCGAGCAGCAGCATTTCGTCCGATGTTGCAGTCCCGGCTAATGCACCGGTGGCGATGGCAACTGTGGCCAATTGTGGGCGCAAAAGTGCGTGGGAAAACATTATGACTGTATATGTGAGTGCATGTGCCTAGAAGATTGTTTTAAATTTCATTTTTTTTTAGCGTCTTCGGAAATGGTGCGGGAGTATTTATCTGTAAAAAGAAAAGAAAAATTATTCTATATACGTACATAAATATGTAAGTCTGTATTTTGGGTTTTGTTTCGATTGATTAAGCGGTATATTGAATAAGCAGTGCGATTTACAACAACAATGTTTTTGATGAAGTTCGCAAGACGTAGTTGTCTATACAAATGTTTGTAAATTAACATAAGAATGTACAGTGTACACCCTATATAATACTATGCGTTTTATCGCGTATATTTTCTAAAAATTTACCGCAACAAAAAAGAAAAAGAAGATACCTATTTTTAGAACAAGAACACAAACAATTGCCACCTGCTGTAGGTGTAATTTAATGCGCCTGTCTTTTTGCGGTTTTCCACCTACGTCAAGCAGTCACTTTTAACGAAATGTATGTTTTTGCTTCGTTGTTGATCCTGTTGCTTTTTTAAGCGCCTACTAGCGTACACATCGTAAATTTAGTGGAATGACACAATTGGCAAAGCTACGAGAAAAAGTTTACAAAACAATTGAATGCTTGAACGGAAGCTCACCCATGTAAATCGCAAAACCGAAACTTGAGCAAGGTCAAACTGTAGTACGTGTTTTATATTAGCTGAAATTCAAACATGTGTGCGCAAGCCTGTAAATTTTATACTATTATACATATTGATGTATGAAGGTTTATGGAATCTACACCACTGATATTGCTTTTAGCAAACAAATCAAGTAATTTTCTTGATTACTTTGGTGGAAAAAAGCGAGATTCTTCAACATATCGCTCAGTTGTGCCCAAGCCCGACGGAAGAGAAGGGCGAGACGTTCAAGGATCTCTTCTATGAGCGCTTGGAGCGTACGCTGCTCGCGGCATGATATAAAAATTTTGCCTGTCGATTTAAGTGGAAAAGTGGGCAACGAAGGGGTCTTTAACGTCATTGTTGGAAAATTCCGCCTCCACGACGATGCGTCCGATAACGGACTGGGGCAGTTTGAGTTCGCTGGAGTACGAAAAATGGTATTATGTAATACTAGGTTCCAGCATAAAAAGACCCATCAAGCTAAAGGGCTGCCTCCAGATCGAAAAACGAGAATCGTCTACGTTGTGATGGACATGCGGTAGGTATGCTTCCATTGTATTAGACGAACGTACATTCCGAGGGCCCCAAATATCGGATTGGCCCACTTTCTTGGTGCAGAGGCGGGCGCCATGTGTTATAGGGAACTGAAGAGGGGAGCGAGTGTGAAGTAAAAATTTGAATCCCCATAAGCCCTTCCCTGCCTACTTTAATGTTGGATTTTGAGTCGCAGCTAGATTGGTCGCTTTATAAATGGATGAGAAAGGAACCGTTCAAACCCTTCCGAGGCACTGAACGGTACCCTGTAGGAAAGTTAATTAGTTTGAAAGTAATTTATAAACTACTTTATTTTCAATGATAACTAATTGAAATTCTCACTACTTTACCTACAACGAACTCATTTATTTAACATGGCGATCAGTGTTGCCAGAACTTTTTGGACGAACCGGCTAAATTGGCAAATAAAACCGGCTAAAAACGGCTAAAATGTATGTTGAAGAAAGTCGGACTGACAAGATATATACACGTAGATCCTGTTTTTTGCCCCTCTGAAAGAATTTTAAAAATTCTATGCAAATTTCTTTTATTTGAAATGCAACCGTGGACACTAGCTGGCAGAAAAACTTGCAAATTTGCGTTCGTACAGAAAATTGCAAGTTTCTCTACATGAGAGAGAATTTGGGAGAATTTTTTCTTACTATCTGATATTTTGCGTTATAATTCTCGCTGGATTTTCGACGAACAAACCTATTGTCTTCCCTACAAGGCCTTTTCAGACTGACCGATTCTCAATACACTCAAATAGAAACCAAAACACATAAAAAACGGTGTAAAAAATTCCCTTCAATTTTAAGGCAGTAAAACAACGACTTTAAGTTAACATCAACCGAGGCCATATGTTGACAAGGGATGCAAAATCACAGTTACACAAAAGAACTGGTCAGATTTTTCAGAAATCCCTTCAATTCTGATGTAAAATATGATGCCAAAAGACTGCAGATCTCCCATTTGGATGAACGGTCATATGACCGGCAGATGTCTGGTAGGATTCCCAGAGAGTTTTGCTTTACATAAAAATTTGCGCTCTTGTATTTTCATTTTGACTCACTTCAGTGTTGGTTCCTTTAATTCAAGTTGGCATTCGGTTTTTGGAATTTAAATAAGTTCTCAGCAAAAAAGTTTGTTTAAAAAAATACATATGTGTACATAGTGCTTGAAAATATCAATTTTTCCCTTACCTTAAACCTTTGGGAGTGGGCAAAAATGATGTTTTGTAATTTAGGCAGAATTGAATACGCCCTATCTGGGAAGACAATATCTACATGTAATATTTATTCTGTTTGTTGGCATTATATCCAAACACAAACGCATCTTAAGTGTCTTAACAGCGAAACAATTTCTTATTTTCTAAGTTTGCGAATAAAACTTCACACTTACAATTAAGACATTTATAACAAACATTTTATGAAGAAAATCCCTTCTTCGTTTAAAATAAAAATAAGCGAAATCGGCCCAATTTCATACAACCCTGCCTGACATGAAAATTTTCTCCACGATAAGGCTAGTAGCCATTTCTAACAGATTTTGGGTCGCTTAGTCAAAAATGGAAACATATATACATATTTGAAATTTAAGAAAACAAGGCAAATAGAAAAATCGGCTAAAAACGGCCAATTTTTTTCTGCAAAACGGCTAACAAATCGGCTTCCGGCTAAATCGAAATTTCTCCGGCTGTTTGCTATCGCAACCGGCTAAATCTAGCCGGAAAACGGCTAAAATGGCAACACTGTTGGCGATGTTCTAGGAAGCATTTAAAATGAATTTGGTTTAAACAACTTCAAAGTCAGTATCTTTCTTTTGATTACGCTTGTGTTCTGCACTCCACAGATGCTTTTTCATACATCCAAGACACAAGTTGTTTTTTTGACTAAAAAGAGTATCAAAATTCGAAACATTTTCTCATTGCATTTCTTTTAAAGTAATCTTTCCTTTAGTTGGTTTAAAAATAAATCACTTGTGTCTGTCAGGGTACCTATTTAACTGAGGGCACAATGTGCTTGCTGTTATTTATTTGAGAATGTAAATGATTGCAGCTGAACAGATACTTGAAATGGTATAATGTTCTTCAAGATGAGCAATACATTTTCGATTCCTTCGACGTTGCTACTTCCGAGTTAATTTCCTTGGAGGCAGCAGTTGCTTTTCAAGTGCAACCTGCAAACTATGAACTTTCCTAATTCATAACAACCCATCGGCTTGTTAATTAGCTGTTGAATATGCAAGTAAAATCGACTATCTTCTGAATGAGTAAAATGTAGGAAGTGTCAGCCATTTTTTATTGTATGTCAAACTTGCAACGACCTACATAATTCGCTTAACTTCTTTAAGGGTGGAAAAATGAAAATCTGCTTAAACATGCCTACACAATACAATTAGGAAAATGTATTTGACAAGGAGGACACACCTTTCAACTTTCATTTACGTCAGCAACTTTGCCCACAATTTGAACTCTTTACTGCCTCGCTGACTCAACTGACGTCCGACTGGCTACATCGCACGTCGGTTGGCATTTGTATAAACGAATATACATTTTGGGTATTCACAGCGGTGTGGTAGGTGTTGTATTGTTGTACTATGTCGTAAACTTGAAACGGCTGAAGTACATTTCTATAAAGTCGGTGTGGTTTCAGGTTCTCTAGATACTTACTAAATTATTTAAATGACACTTAGACTAGGTTAGGTTAGGTTAGGAAGACGCGTACAAATGACTCATAGTTCTACTCGGATGCATATTGGCGCATTAAAAATGCACGAAGCTACTTCATATTGTCAGTATCGTATTCACTACCCGGTTGAAACTGTGGAGCTCCGATATTCTCACCTCCGCTATCTCTTTCAAACATTTGCAAACAAATCCAAATCCTTGAGACGCCTTCTTAAGAGGACTGGGCATTGACATAGGAAGCGGTGAATCTGCAGAGAGAGGCTGTTGTTGGTGAAAGTCCTTGGAGTACAGACAGAAGCCGGCTCATTTGTTCATCTTTGAGTCATCGGGGCAGATGGAAATACCATCATTTACCGACAGTGGGCCAGCTTCCCAATCCTCCCCATTTGGAGAGTGTATGGGAATATTAAAAATAGTTATGCCAAGTTGGCGAGAGTTAATAAGCTTCGACATCTAAGTCGACCTTGATTCCGTAACGCCGTCCAGTATTAATTACCTTCAAGACCGCTGCGAGCCCGTAGTTCGTCTGCTGCCACAATTTCGATTAATTTAGTATAAGGGCCCCATTACGAATACTTTTGGTGCGACTAGGCCGATGTGAATACCACAAGTGTCTAGTTGTTTACCTTTATTAATTTGGTTAAAACTCAATTAAATTATAGAGCTCTCCGCATAATCTATGTTCATTTGGTGTTGAGACAGCAAAATGTTAAAATACCATAATACGAAAATTCCAAGCAATAAATCCAAATACTCCTCGTTTCATAAAACTTTTCACTACACTACGTCGAACACAAACAATTGCAATTAGCTTTTACTGTAGAGGTTCGTAATGGGAAGCGGCATAAATTGAGTACTAAGCCATGGGCGCTTAGGCGGACAGTTATGTATGTATGTACATACATAGTATGTATCTACCCTGTGGGGTAATTCTCTAGTTCTGAACTGGCGCACTTCAAGTGTATTTAGACCTGTACTGGAGGTCTACTCTGCGATTCGAAAAGCAATGCGATTCGAAAGTCGACACGCACTAATAAAAACTCATAGCGCCAAGTATTCGAATCCGAATAATTTGCTTGTAGAAGCGAAATGCAAAGTAGACGCCCTGGTTTGCGATAAATCTCTTTTGCACGCAAATAACTGCCTCAACTGTGGTGTAGTGGTTAGCAGTGCGCGCTACCACTCCCAAGGGCCTAGGTTCAAGTTCCAACAAAAAAGCCGCCA